GGGAGGTTGTGGAGAAAGGCTACGATGAGCCAAGTGATGAGTCTGTTCTATCCACAACACAAAAGGATAGCTTACGAGACTTGCGAAAGAGAGACAAGAAGGCTCTCTTCCTCATCTATCAAGCTTTAGATGAAGATGGTTTTGAGAAGATCTCAAGTGCTACTTCGGCCAAACTAGCATGGAAGAAGCTCGAGGTTTCATATAAGGGAGCAGAGAAGGTTAAAAAGGTACGACTTCAAACTTTAAGAAGTCAATTTGATGTTTTGCATATGAAAGAAGGCGAGTTGGTCTCCGATTACTTTTCTAGAGTCATTACCATTTCCAATCAACGAAAAAGAAATGGTGAGAAGTTAGAAGATGTGGCTATCATGGAAAAGATCATCCGATCGATAGATTCAAAATTTGATAGTATCACAACCATTATCGAAGAGACGAAGGACTTACAAGTCATGACGATAGAGCAACTTCTAGGTTCATTGCAAGCCCATGAAGAAAAGAAGAAGATGAATGAAGAAATTGTCCAACAACTTCTCAAGACAAATCTCCAACCAACTCAGAAAGATGAAAGCTTCAACAACATTAGAAGCCACAATAGAGGACAAGGACAAAGTCATGCAAGCAAGCAAGGATGGAGTACCAAAAATAACTATGAGAAAGGAGAAAGATCTACAAGTGGACGTGGTCAAGGGCACTCAAATTCGAGGTATGATAAATCTCAAATTAAGTGCTATAATTGTAACAAGTTCGGGCATTATGCGAAAGAATGTAGAGCACCTAAGTACAAAGTGAATGAAAGAGTCAACTACATTGAAGAAAAAAAAGAAGAAGATGGCACTCTACTTCTAGCATACAAAGGCAACGAAAGAGGTGAAGATAGTACATGGTACCTGGACACCGGTGCAAGCAACCATATGTGTGGGAGACGAAGCATGTTCGTAGAGCTTGATGAATCAGTAAGTGGCAATGTGTCTTTTGGAGATGAGTCCAAGATAGAGGTGAAAGGCAAATGTAGCATTCTCATCCGTCAGAAAAATGGGAAGCATCAATTTATTTCTAACGTATACTTTGTGCCGAATATGAAAAGCAACATCTTGAGTTTAGGGCAACTCTTGGAGAAAGGATATGATATTCACTTGAAAGAAAATACTCTCTTCTTAAAAGACAATATTGGTAACTTGATTGCTAAGGTGCCAATGTCTAAAAATAGAATGTTCTCACTCAACATTCAAAATGATATTGCCAAATGTCTGAAGACCTGTTATAAAGATGCTTCTTGGCTCTGGCATCTTCGATTTGGGCATCTCAACTTTGGAGGACTCGATTTGCTTTCAAAGAAAGAGATGGTGAGAGGACTACCTTGCATCAACCACCCTGATCAATTATGTGAAGGATGTTTACTCGGAAAGCACTTTAGAAAAAGCTTTCCAAGGGAGTCAAGTTCAAGAGCCCAAAAGCCTCTTGAGCTCATACATACAAATGTTTGTGGTCCAATAAAGCCAAACTCACTCGGTAAGAGCAACTATTTTCTTCTCTTCATAGATGATTTTTCACGAAAAACATGGGTGTATTTCTTAAAACAAAAATCAGAGGTTTTTGGAATATTCAAGAAGTTTAAAGCAGATGTAGAGAAAGAGAGTGGTCTCAAGATCAAAGCTATGCGATCTGATCGAGGAGGAGAATTCACTTCAAAAGAATTTCAAGAATTCTGTGAAGCCAACGGAATACGTCGACTTCTAACTATTCCAAGATCCCCCCAACAAAATGGAGTAGCGGAACGGAAGAATAGA